GTATTTTTCGAATCTTCCTGACAGGTGTCACCAATTCAACTGCCGAACGCACCCTTGTTAAACTTCTATCCGTGCGTCGGGTTCTAACATCTTTGTCATCCGTCACGATTGCATTGTTATTGTAAGAACTTTGAGTGTCGGAAGTTAGCGAGGAATTGAACGAGGAATTATTTAACGAATAGTTTATACTTGACGATATCGAGGTGTTGTAACTGCTCGACATCAACGAAACCTGAGTCGATTTTTCGGTCAGTTTTACCTTTGACCTTAGGGGTTTAGATGGGTCAAGATTTTTTCTACTATGTACACTTTTTGTACTTACTTTACTATGCACATCTTTTACACTTATCGTTTTTACTGGGGGTTTTATAGTAACTTTATCATTTGGATCATTTGCGTTTAGTGTACTATGAGGAACATATGTATTTAGTTTACTATTTGGTACTTTTGGACTTACGTTACTGCTATTCAGTACCTTCGAACTTATTGTACTGTACGGATCTTTCGATTTGCCGGTCCACAATCTAACCGGGTTTATTACGGTCGTGAGAGCTTCTGGCTCTTGGATCTCTGTCACCATGTACATGAAGGATGATTTCATTGTTGGGGAAGGGTTGCTAGGTAGGCTAGAAATATTTGAGTGAGAATTTAGGAGTTGGTATAGAATTATCTGCTATATTTTTTCTGATTTCATTTTATTTCGTTGGTAAGTTAACTATAGCGGACTAGCTAACTTGGTTGCATTTGACTGATGCGCTACCGGAAGAGAACGATGAACCTTTTTCATTTCATTTCACTTCATTTTATTGTTTGATCCGAAAAAAAATTTTAAAACTAAGTTTTTTAGCGTAGCTTTTTTAGTTAGGCGCACTCAGTGTATATATTATGTGTGTCTGTGTGTATATTTAGTTAACAAAACACACCAAAGACATGAAATGAAAAGAGAAAAATAATATAAATAATTTTACGAACAACCAACAGCAACAGAAAGACAAAAAAAATTATGATTAATGATAATAAAGTTATAATAATAACAATAATAACAACAACAATAATAATAATAA